CTCATGCTTTTCTTCTCTTCAGGAACAACAACTTTTTGAAAAAAAAAATTGAAAACGAGGCTGGAATTATTTAGCAGCATCAAAGTGTTTTTTACTGGAAAATTATCTGCACCTTAGAGTTCTGTAAGACTAAAAACCCTAAAAAAAAAATACAGCCTTTTAAAGCAGTGTTTTACAGGAATACAACTTGTCGATGTAAAAATAAAAATAAAAATAAAAAAATAAACTTAATTTGGAAAAAAAAGCAAATGTACAAAACATGTTCTTAATTAATAATAGAATAAAATTCCCTCTACAACAGCGGTCCCAAACCACCGGGCCGCTGACCGGTACTGGTCCATCGGTCATTTGGTACCGGGCCGCACAGAAAAAAGTATATATAATTTATCGACGATCAGAGTCTGAGTGATGTTTTATTTTGAAAAATATAACAAATTGCGGTATTCTCTCCCAATTACTGGTTAATTCAGTTCAAGACTCATCCTATCTTTGTGAAGCGGGATTTTCTGCGGTTACAGCGACCAAAACAAAGCTACGAAGCAGACTGGACATCAGGAGCACACTTCGTCTTCATTTTCTCCGATTACGCCTAGATGGGACCAGCTCGTTTTATTTTTATGCTGTTTGTATTTCATTTTATGCCAGTTGTTAGATAGTTTGCCAATAGAATGAGAATATTTACTATTAGAATAAGATAATTGGATAAAATACACTTGAAATAATACAATGCAATTGTGTTTTCTTATTTTAAGTGTATATGGTGTTGCTCCATTGGTAAAATGTCTATTTTACCTCCTCCATCCAAGAACAAATACAGTTATAAAAAAAAAATGACTTATCTAGATTTCCATTTTTCCAGTGTACTCTGCTGCCACCAGCGGGATACCTCTTTACTCCACGACCATAAGCTTGCTTGAAGTTGCCACGACAACGTAACTTCCGTGAAATTGTGTTGATTAGGCCTCAAATTAATTTAATTAAAAGCCAAATACATGAAAAGCATTTTTAATACTTTAAAAAAATCTCCCTCCCGTCACTAAAGTGAACTAAAATAATTATGTATGCAGATGATTCCACTATATATACATCAGCAAGAACAAATAATGAATTAGAAATTATTATGAATAACGAACTAGTGGGGGTGGATAAATGGGTGAAAGCAAATAAGCTGGTATTGAATACAGCAAAAACTAACAGCATGATTGTGAGGTCAAATTACANCTTTTGCGAGTGTATGAAATTAATAACTGGGGATGTCTAATTCTGAAATCCTGTGTTTGGGTTGTTATAGATACTGCAACATTTAGCTATATCCATCCGTCCGTCCGTCCGTCCATCCATCCATCCATCTGTCTCCCTTTCTCCTTATAGGCGATCATTTGATCCTTCACGCTCTCCATAGTTCCCCTGTGGCGCCAGCACAGGGCGAATGTTCCGCGCCTTTAGCTAGCATGCGCGTTTCCTGACGCTTGTGCGGTGAATGAGATGCAGAGGAAACCGTATCTGATGGGGAAACGCAGCTCGACGTAACACCGGTATTTCCATCTGGAAAACGCTGTTTTGCTGCAGGAGTCCTCCTGACTCTCCATCTCTCTGTGTGTGCTGTACGTTAACCTCCACCAGCAGAAACACCCACCTACCCAACTGACAGACGGAATCTCACTATACATCAGCCATTCTCATCTGATCTGGTGAACTGGAAAGTGACCTGAGATGACATGATGTGAATTGGAGATATAGAAATAGACTGAATAGAATTGAATTAAAGTTCGCAGTGAGGCAGAGGAAGTTGGATGGGAGTTGAAATAAAAAATGAGGGAAATCAAATATCTGAGCACGTTGGTGGCGTACTTACTGGACAGAAGTGGAGATCTGCAGGTGGCGGATGCCGGGTGTGGGGAACTGGCGGGAGTTTATGTAGGAAACCTTCCTCACAGCTGTGTTCATGTTCTCCAGATCCTCTCCCTCCATGACCAGGATGGACTGAGCTGGGTTGAAGTGGAACTAGGACATAAAAGAAAAGAGAAAACAGTCCGTTTTAAATGAACTTATTCTGCATTAAACGACTTTGAAGTCACTGTGGGACCCTGAAAAGATTATTAATTGGATTTTCCAGAAGTTTCTGTGAAGTCTGCAAACTAACTGGGTTCAATTCAAACTCCGTTTCAGGAGGCGGTCAATAAAACGGTATTATTCTACATTTTGACCAGCTGGGGGCAGTACAGAGAACAATGAGCAGCAGAATAAACGATCCTTGCGGAAAACAGTTGTGGGGAACATGTTTACGGTCAATTACAAACCCACTCAGAGTGGGGCAGCAGCATTAATCACTCAGAGTGGTATCTGTGGCCACTCGCTACAGGAGAGGCCAATAATCACCCTCCTCTAAACTCTGCAGCGGCTCCTGTGGGAAATCTCTGACTATTTAGCTGCTAAGTGCTGCACTTTGTTCATCAAATAGCTTTTGTCTGTCAGTTATCTGATTGCAGCGCCGTCACTGTTCTCATGCTTTTCTTCTCTTCAGGAACAACAACTTTTTGAAAAAAAAAATTGAAAACGAGGCTGGAATTATTTAGCAGCATCAAAGTGTTTTTTACACTGCAAAAAGGATCTAGAAATAAGTCAAAATATCTTAAATTAAGTATATTTCCCTTTAATTTCAGTAGGTAAATAAGACGATTTGCCAATAGAATTGGGATTTTTACAGTTAAAATAAGGTAATCAGATAATATACACTTGATATAAGACAATTAAATTGTATTTTTCTTCTTTTGAATGTAAATTGTCTTGTTCCATCGGCAAAGTGTCTCACTTACCTCCTCAATTCAAGTAAGAATGCACTTATTTTAGGAAAAAAATTACTTATCTAGATTTCCATTTTTTCCAGTGTACTGGTAAATTATCTGCACCTTAGAGGTGTGTAAGTCTAAAAACCCTAAAAAAAATAGCCTTTTAAAGCAGTGTGTGAGAGGAATACAACTTGTCTATGTCAAAAAATAAATAAATAAACTAAATTTGAAAAAAAAAGCAACAACTTTGACAAAAAAGCTGAAAAAAAAATCAAATTTATCCTTAAAACCTTTTTAGTTTTTCCTTTATTAATCTTTGGTTTGCATTTTTTTTTTTATTTCTATGTACAAAATATGTTCTTTATTAATAATAGAACAAAATTCACTCTACAACATGCAGGGTGACCAGATTTTATAATATAGGTTAAGTGACCCTTGCTAAGGGCCGCCACTTGAAAAACAATGTAGAATAAGTAAAAATGTGTTAAATTAAGTGTATTTACCCTTATTTTAAGTAGGTAAATGACATAGTTAGCCAATGGAATGAACATTTTTACTCTTAAAATAAGATAATTCGATAATATGCACTTGAAATAAGACAATGAAAGTTTTTTTTTTTACTTTAAGTGTAAATTCTCTTGTTCCATTGGCAAGATGTCTCTTTTACCTCCTCAATTCAAGAACAAATGCACTTATTTTAAGAAAAAATGACTTATCTAGATTTCAGTTTTTTCCAGTGAAGTAATTTTGAACAGGGGTTGCCGTGAAATTGAGCCTCAGACAATAAAAATAAATAAAATGAGATTCTCTACTTTATTGTCATATCATTTTCAGTGTAGCACATAGACATCATCAGTTCTCAGGTGAACACTGGAAAAAATCTAAATCTAGATAAATAATTTTTCTTAAAAATAAGAGTATTTGTACATTTTGCCAATGGAACAAGATAATTACACTTAAAAGTAAGAAAACTTAATTGCATTGTCTTATTTCAAGTGCATTTTATCTAAATATCTTAATTAAAGAGTAAAAATACCTCATTCTATTGGCAAATCATTTAATTTACCTACTCAAATTACAGTTAAATACACTTAATTTACGATATTTCTTACTTATTTTTAGATTTTTCCAGTGAATATATGTGCTATTAATTTAATTTGACTATAACACTATAACAACCTAGATTTTGTCAGCTGGCAGGAACCTGAGTCACTGCGTTTAAGTCACACGTAACTCTATTATCTCCAAAATCCTTTTGTGAAAATTACAATTATATTATTATACCATTTAAACATTGAAAACACAAGATCAAAATAACACTGTAAAATACTATGGTTACGTTAAACTGAACAGATAGATATGAAAGTTACTTTGATGTACAGGCAGGTTGCCGAGTTACAGGTGTCCAAACGTTCAGGTGCGCTCTGAGGTCGTGGAGATAAAGTCTCTCATATGCGTTTCTGCGCCATATTTCCTCGTCGTTTCTGTCATTAGACTACGTACATTTACTACACTGGGAAAACGATCTAGAAATAAGAAAACATTTCTTCACTTAAGTGTATTTACCCTTAATTTAAGTAGGTAAATGAGAGAGTTTGCCAATGGAATGAGAATAATTACTCTTAGAATAAGATAATTGGATAAAATACACTTGAAATAAAACAATACAATATTTATTTCCTTATTTTAAATGTAAATTGCCTCGTTTCATTGGCAAAGAGTCTCTCTTACCTCACCAAGTCATGAAACAATGCACTTATTTTAAGAAAAAATGACTTATCTAGATTTCCATTTTTTCCAGTGTACTCTGCTGCTGCCAGCGGGATACCTCTTTACTCCACGACCACAAGCTTGCTTGAAGTTGCCATGACAACGTAACTTCCGTGAAATTGTGTTGATTAGGCCTCAAATTAATTTCATTAAAAGCCAAATACATGAATAGCATTTTTAATACTTTTACAAAATCTCCCTCCCGTCACTAAACCCCACTTCCCGCGGCCATGCACTGGAAAAAAATCGAAATCTAGATCAGTCATTTTTTTGCCAGTGGAACAAGACAATTTACCTTTGAAATAAGAAAACACAATTCCATTGTCCAGTGCATATTATCGAATTATTTTATTTTAAGAGTAAAAATACTCATTCTATTGGCAAACTATCTCATTTACCTACTCAAATTAAGGGAAAATACATTTAATTTTATAAATTTTACTTATTTCCAGATCATTTTTCCAGTGTGCCTTTGCTTACTTACATTTAACGGAGTGAATCACATTTTTTTAGCGGGTCAGAACTGCAAAAAATGCTATACTTGGTAGGAAAGGTGCTTGGCATAAACGCCTGATTTAGGGAGGGGGGGTTGAACACTTTAAGTGGCGGCTGTACACTGCAAAAAAACGATCTTGAAATT